TGCAAATCGAAAGCAAACGTGGATGATTTGAAGGCTTAGTTCTTTCTATTTCAAAATGAAAGCAGATTTCCAATGAGGCTGTAATAATAATGTTTTTGTCTTGCAGGGAATAACATTCTCACAGATAAAATAATTTTTACATTAGACCAATGTAATAAAGAGGTCCAAGAAAGCATTGCCTTAAGTAACAAAGAAGTGTATCTTTTCCTGTGTGAAGGTGTGAGATGAGTATTCTAGGTAACTCAGTTCCCACCACCCTTGGGATATCCACCTGGCTGAACCCAGTTTGCTGCCAGGCCTGAAAAGTGGCCAGAGGGAAGGATGTTGTTATTTTTAAGTGCCGTCAAGTCAATTCCAACCCATAGCGACCCTGTATAGGGTTTCCAAGGAACAGCTGGTGAGCTGGAGCCACCAACCTTGCAGTTCAAATGAAGGGAGAGTCTGTGAAATAAGCATGCCCCTGACCTTAGAGCTTAAGCCTAAAAGTGTAACATACCTTCTTCCATTTCAGTGGTAAATGTTTCCACATCTGGTTCTGCCTAACCACTGTTGTTAGATGCCATTGAGTCAGTACCAACTCATAGCAACCCTATGCACAAAAGAACGAAACACTGCCAGTCCATCTTGTTGGAAGTCTTCCTCTTTTTCTCTGACCCTCCTCTTTACCAAACATGATATCCTTCTCCAGGGACTGATCCCTCTCTATAATATGTCCCAAGTATGAAGGACAAAGTCTGGCCATCCTGGCTTCCAAGGAGCGTTCTGGCTGTACTTCTTCTAACACAGATTTGTTTGTTCTTTAGTAATCCATGGTACTTTCAATATTCTCCTCCAACTTAATGCATCTATTCTTCTACACTCATCCTTATTCACTGTCCAACTTTCACATGCATATGAGGTTATTGAAAATACCATGGCTTCGGTCAGGCACACCTAAGTCCTCAAACTGACATCTTTGCTCTTCAACACTTTAAAGAGGTCTCGTGCAGCAGGTTTGCCCAATGCAATACATCATTTGATCTCTTGACTGCTGCTTCCATGAGTGTTGATGGTTGATCCAAGTAAAAGGAAGTCTTTGACAACTTCAGACTCTTCTCCATTTATCTTGATATTGTTTATTGGTCTAGTGATGAGGATTTTTGTTTTCTTTACATTGAGGTGCAGCTCATAACTGAAGGCTGTGGTCTTCGATCTTCATCAGTAAGTATTTTCAGTCGTCGGACTCACAGTGATCCTATGATCACTTTGTGAGGAGTAGCTGATGTGTTATGTGTGGTTCGCAGTCCAGTGCTGATTCTACAGTGCCACACCAGGAGTCCAACCACTAAGGATGTTGGACTCCTAACCACTAAGACCTAGGAGCTGAGATCTAATCAACTGCCCAGGAAGAAGAGAAGAGATTTTAGTGTACAACTAGAAGACTTGATTTTTAATATTTACACTAAAATCTGTGTAGATTGATAAATACAATGGTAACTTGCAGTGCTCCTTGGGTGACACGCACTGTTATGTGCTCAGCTACTCAACACTGGCATTTTTTAATTCACCCAAAGGCACCAAAGAAGAAAGGATGACAATTTGTTTCCCAAGGATCATAACCAAGAAAACCTTATGAAGCATTTCTCCTCTGTACCACACAGGGTCTGAATCAGAATCAGCTTGATGACAGCTGGTTTGGTTTGCTGGGGTTTTTTAATTGCAACTTGCTATCATCATTGCTACAATTTGGAAGGCTTAGTCTTTTCATGAAACAACTAGGAATGAGGCACTTCATAACTGAATTCATTAATACATACCTTTGGAATATTTACCATGTGCTGGGTAGACTCAAAGCAGGACAGACCCAGAGACTCATAGACTCATATTACCTGGGTCTCTTTCCATTATAACCATTTGTTGTCTGTAAGTGAAGTTGGTTGTTGCTTGTTTGCTTTTTTTGTTCATGAATCTTCATCTTTCCTGACCAAAAAAAAAAAAAAAAAAGCGCTTATTGAATACAGAAATAGATATCAGAGCATCACTAAGCAGTCAGATGCCCTGAATACTTAGGCCATCTCAGCAAACATGTTCAGCAGTGAAACCCCACTTATAAACTTGGCAGCACAGCTTTCTCTGGCAGGCAGACAGGAGCAGTGGGAAATAATGATGGTCTGTAGCAGCAATCTTGACTCCGGATGACAGATCGCCTGTTGTCGGTGTCAGTTCCTATCGGTACCCTCGTTGTTAGCCTGGAAGTTTTATTTCCCAGTTTGCAAACATTTATGTGTTTTAGCTTCAGGCAAAATAGTAGACCCTCTGTTTTTATGGAAAGAATTAATTCCCTACAGCAATCCAGAGCAAATTATTAGACTATTACTTCATGCCAGGATTAGCATTCTCTAATTTTAAAACATGTGTTTTAAAAGATGGATTTTTTTTTTTTTTTAAGCATGATGTTCTTTAAAGATAATGAAGCCATTTTGACAGCTATTTTCAATGCATTGCCACAGTTAATTGGGCTTTCAGACTGCAGGGGTCTGCATTAGAACGATTTGTCTTTGCTTCCTTTCACGCTGACTCTTATGCAGTTCCACTGCAAACTAATCTGTCTGTCCACTTTTATTCAGCTGGAAAATAATGCATACGTGCACATCATAGGTCATTTCATTATTCAGAGAAAATGTTACATACCCATAGATCATTTCATAACTCACAGAAATTGCATATTAGTGACTAGAAAGATAAATTACATCTCGACTTGCCACATGTACTTCGTAGCAGAGATATAAGGCGTTTTCATCTAGAGCCCACAATAAACATGTTTTAGATATTCATTACCACCCTCACATTAAATGAAGTATTGTTTGTGCATAGTGATTTCAAGAAAAAAAACCAAATGGTTGTCAAGGCAACGCCAATGAATGGTGACCCCAAATGTGTCAGAGTAGAACTGTGCTCCAGAGGGTTTTCAGTGGTTTTTTTAAAAAGCAGATCTCCAGGACTTCCTTCTGAGGTGCATCTGAGTGGACTTGAACCTCCAGCCTTTTAGTTAGCAGCTAAGTGTGTTAACTGTTTGCACCACCCATGGGGTGGTTGTGGTGGTTATATGCCATTGAGTCGGTTCTGACTCATAGCAACCCGTACAAAGTCTTTGAGGCTGTAAATCTTTACAGGAGCAGAAAGCCTCATCTTTCTCCCATGATAGATTCAAACTGCTGACCTTGCAGTTAGCAGCCCAACTTGTAACCCCACTACACTATCAGATCTCATTCCATAGAGCTCATGGGGAACTGTGAAGAGCTGTAGAGATCTTGGTTGTCTTAATTAACTTTTCAATTTTTTTTTTTTTTTTAAGTAAGGTTTTCCAGAGTCAAGGATTAATAGCTCAGTGAAGGTTGGGGTAGGATTTCTGGGAAGGGAAGGCATATAGAAGGGTTTGAGGAGGGCATATGTGAGCGGAAAGGAGCAAGTTGGCTCTGTGTGGCCAGAGTTGGGTATTGGAGTGGGGAGAGTCATGAAGGATGAGTTCTTGAGGGGAGAGGGGGGGCCAGACTGGACTGACAGGGTAGTGGTGATGTGGAGCTACTGGAAAGGTAGCAGTAGGCCAAGGTGGCCTTTTAAGTAGGGCCCCTGGTTGTGGCAAATGACAGATTAAAAGCAGGAAGGCTTATGAGAAGGCCACTGACAACAAATGAAGTTTCCTGAAGCCACAGATAGCTGCGTGGTTGAAGGGGAGTTGTTATTCGGTGCCATCAAGTCATAGCAGCCCTTTACACAAGAGGAGGAAACACTGCCCCATCCTGCACCATCCTCACAATTGTCATGTAGGAACCCATGGTTGCAACCACTGTGTCAGTCCATCTCTTGGATGGCTTTCCTCTTTTCCACTGAGTCTCCACTTTACGAAGCATGATGTCCCTCTCCAGGGACTAGTCGCTCCTGATAAGATGGCCAAAGAACAACAGATGAGGTCTCCATCCATATCTTTGCTTCTAAGGAACATTCTGGCTGCACTTCTTCCAAGACAGATTTGTTTGTTCTTCTAGCAGCCCATGGTACTTTCAGTATTCTTCTCTAACAATGTAACTTATATACATCGATTCTTCTGCAATCTTCTTTATTCATTGGACACCTTTCACATACATATGTTGTTGTTAAATGCTTTCGAGTCAGTGCTGACTCATGGCGACCCTGTATAGGGTTTCTGAGGAGCAGCTATTAAGTTTGAACTGTCAACCTTGTGGTTCAAACTGACCTTGTGGACAGTGCATTATCCTTCAATGCCACACGAAAATACCATGACTTGTATTTAGTCTCAAATGACATCTTTGCTCTTTTAACATTGTAAAGATGTCTTTTGCAGCAGGTTTGCCCAATGCAACACATCATTTGATTTCTTGACTGCTGATTCCATGAGTGTGGATTGTGGATCCAAGCAAAAGGAAGTCTTTGACTTCAGTCTTTTCTCTGTTTATCTTGTTATGTATTGGTCCAGCTGTGAGGATTTTTGTTTTCTTTACATTGAGGCTGTAGTCTTTGATCTTCAGAGGATCACAGAGAAGCATGGTGAAACATCAGAAGGAAAGGTTAGCAGGGTTGGGAGGTGGGTGGCATGGGGAGGGGGAGGAGAGGGACATATCCAGGATGCCCCCAGCCTAAGGCATGATTGTTTGGGTTATTGGGTTGGAGACCATTCTAGAGATGGACCATAGGAAGCAGCTGAGGTTAGAGCTGGATGGTAGAGGGCGGAGCCAAATCCCACTGTGCTAAGAGTGATGTCAGTGCAGCAGAGACTGGGGGTTTATGTAGAGGTGTCCATTGAAATTGAACCTTGAAAGTGATCAGACTACTAGGACCTGTTACTGTGGGTGAGAAGTGCCAGGGCACATATGGGGGCATTGCTTGCCAAGGTTTGGGACCGTTATATTGTGGCTGTGTGAAAGAAAGTGGCTGTTACTTTCTAAACAAAGGTGGGCTTCCATGGAACACTCTGACCACTAATTTCTGTGTTGTCTCATTAGGAAACCATACCATCCTAAACTGGAAGCTTTCGTTAGTCATATGGCAAAAGGATCCGGAGCCTCTTTTGAAAGCCCCTTACACTCCCTGCCTCTTTACCCCAGTCACCTGCTGTGTGAGATGGGAGAACTCACGCAAACAGGTATGTCTAACAGCCATCTGCTCACTTCTTCTCCCACCCATACTTCCATGTGGCATGTAGTCAGTGGATGTCCTCATGTAAGGCCGCCAGGAAGGATATTCGCAGTGGGGAGCTTAAAGGGGTGAATAAAGACTGAAGTGGGAGCGTGGCGGTTCTGCAGGATAAGCACTGGACTGGGAACTACAAGGTCAGTAGTCTGAACCCACCCGCCACTCTGTGGGATAAAGATGAAGCTTTCTGCTCCCACAAAAGATTTGCAAGCTCAGAAACCCTGTACAGGGTTGCTATGAGTCAAAACCAACTTGACTGCACTTAACAACACCAAGCAATAACCCACCTTGAAACTCAGAGTCCACCAAGATATCTAATTAAACATCTGATTTCTAAACATTAAAAATCACTTTTTTTTTT